GTGTGTGTGTGTCTCTGTGTCCGTGTGTTTGCGGGCGAGTTGATTGGAGATGCCTGCTGATTGGCACTCGTGAGACTCGTGACGAGCACGCTGCCAGTACGTGTGCACCAACCGAACCATTCACCGATGGCACCGAAGTGACCACTGATCGACTCACAATGGGGGGACACCTGTACACCCGATATGCAACTCTTCATATTGATCACGGTTGTGATGCGAGTAGGAGTTGAACGCCCACGACTTGAAGCAGCTTCACTTGTGCTTCGAAAAAGTTCCGCACCATCCGCACATAACCCTGCCTGCAAGCAGCAATGTCTTTGGTGAGCCAATGATGGTATAGAGGCTCAGGCAAAGCGCATGCCAAGACTGTCTGTGTGCTGCGCGTGCTGTGGGGGGGGGGGGGGGGGGGCCTGGCGGCGACGTGCTTTGAGTTGAGCTGAGAGCCGAAGGCCTCGCCTCCGACGTTCGAAGCCGGTGGCCGGGCCATGCTCACGGGCTTTACTGTGTCTTGGTGAAGTCTGCGCCGCAAAGGCTTTACCAGTCCACACTCCAGACAGGCTCCAGAACACAAGGCTTAGTTGTACCAGTGTAGCGCTGCTCACAGTTTGCCTTGTGCGAATTGAATAGATTGACAAGCGGAAGAAAGGCAGCAGGAGTTCGGATGCAAGGCACAACCCTCACTATTACTTTGCTTACAGCCTGCTGGCTAAGGAGCGTACCTCTCTGAATGGCGAGCCAGTGGAGCTGAAGCCCATCTCAGTTCAGGTTCGGGATCTGAAAGTATGGGCTGCCTCCCTAAACACACGAGAATGCCACGCATCCGCGCTCACGAGTTTCGATCAGTTTTCATCAACGTTCTGTGGGTTCCTGGCTCGAGGGTCCGGCTTGAGCCCGCAAGATCGAAAGCTGGGCGGCCGAAGTAGATAGGTGTGTGCGGGGTCGTTCGAACGACAATACCAATACCGATGGTGTTCTCGGCCGTGGATGCAGCGTAGGACCGAACTTCCTCATCAAAGAGTATACGAACTCGATCTTGTCTGGTAGCACCCCTGTGATGAGTATTGTCTTGTGGGTCAAGCT